AGTTTCAGGATTCTGGTTGAAATTTCAATTTTGTAAGAAAAAAAATCCAAAAAAACCACGGGAAAGTTTTTTCAAAACTCTTTTTTAGCGATACTTCTGGATTTTGATTGAAACATTCAAGAATTTGATCTAAAAAACCTGAGATAAAAGTTATTTTGTTTCTGATTGCTGGTTGAACTGAGTTTTCCGAAGATGAAGAGTTAGATTTTTTTTATCATCGAGTAATGTACTGAATGTGGTGACTGTGCTTCGTAGATTGAAAAAAAAGTTATATGCCACTGCATACTTATCTGTTTAGACAGTATCATTCAATGTTCGTTAATCATGGCTGGTGAATTTATTTTTTGTGCGTTTATGCCATATAAGTCTTGCAATTGACAAAATTCTATCCTGTAGCCAAAACAAAGTGTTCTTTTTTTAGGTCGTGAGTTTTGATTTTGAATGGTATAGGAACAAAAAAAACTTTTTAACCAAGTTGAAATAAAATCTAAGAGGGTAGTATAAATTTTTATCAATTTTTTATGTTTAGGAAAAAACGACCTTAGGCCTAACTTATCATAGTACCAAATTTTTAGCAATGTTTTAGAGAAAAAAAAAACATTAAAGTCTTTCCATGTCCAATTACAGTATGTTAACACAGTGTATTTGTCCCTAAAAAGATATATATATATATATATATATATATATATATATATATATATATATATATATATAATGTAATTTTTGAACTAACGTTTTTTTTCTATAGGTCAATACGTCATCTGAGTTCAAATACTGTTCCATATTGTTACCGATCCTTTGAAAAACAAGTTGTTTGTGTTTATCAATATAAATTTCAGTTAGGTATAGTTTATTGCTCTTGCAATTTCTTCAAATTGATATGTACAGAATTGATTTTTTCATAAGCTGCCAGTCGTTGTTTTTTGATTTTGCAGAAGTGAAAAACCAAATTGTAGTTAAGACTCATGAGAGTTGACAATATAAAAAACATGGAAGTTAGGCAATTTAGTTTCGAATTGAAGGAGATGTCATAATTTGCGCAATTGCAACTTATTTTCGTAGCCCAACTGACTTGTTTTTCAAGTGATATAGTTACTTTTGCTATGTTTCTCAAAATCATTTTTCTCTTCATGATAAGCGATTAGTCAACACAAAATTTAACTTTTGTTTTTTCCTTTATCAAAATGTCGCCTACAATTGAGTAGTTTTTTTTTCGTTTTTGCGAATAAATTTGAGTGAAAAAAAAAGAGTTCTTTGTTTTTTGCATTCAGTTTGAAACATTCCGATATGATTTTGCAAATTTCCACCAGTTGTTGCAGTGCTCACAGAAAAAAAGCGTGCAGGCGGAAAATTGAACAATTCTATCCGAATCAAACAAATTCTGTTTAAGATCAATTGAATACAATTAAAAAGTAAGAAGGCACAGTGCAGTAACTTGTGATGTAGTGAGATTCAATTGGTTTCGAAATTATTTAGATTTATTTTTTTTTGCTGCCGATTGCATTTGAAAGAGTTTATCATTATAGTTGCTTTTTCTAACTAACATGTCGGAATTTAAGTACAAAAGAATCCAAAAGCATTTGGTAGATCTAGTAAGGAGAGATGACATATTCGATGGTATCAGTTGCTTTTCAAGAGGTTCTGTACGAAATAAGATAGCGTCAGGCTTTAAATAAAAGGTTCAACAATCAAGTTGAATATTGATTCTCCAAAAAAAAGTTTCGTGAATTGTAGCCCTCTTTTAATTGTTTATAAACATTTTTTTTTCTGAAACTTGCAAAACTACTCCGGTTTTAAATTAGTTCTGTAAGTTTCTGGGTCTTTTGGTTCATCTTTTTAAAAAACTGACGGAACAAACATCTTCTTGAGTTTTTCCGGATACATGTTGTTTTTCAAAAATTCAAAGTAAAGGATTGTTAGGTGCGTGCAAATTTCCTCGCACTCATCTTTAAATATCCATGCTAGAACATCGGACTGATGTTAATTTTGCATTATAGTCTAGCCATTCTTTTTTTGCACACAACGTTGGTGACAAACCAGAATGAAAGCTTATCACTTTTTCAGGAACAAAATTATTTATCGTTTCTTTAAGGAGATTGAGTAATTTGATTTCAACAAAGAAACAGTCGAATATTGAAAACTTGTAGTTTAGTAAATGTGCAATTTTGATAATGATTTGCCTGATAAGTTTTTTGGTAAAGCAAAATTACCTGCTGAGCATTTGGGTCATGTTCCATTTTCGACGCTCGTGTTTTTTGATGAAAATAAAAAAAAATGGTGAAAAAATTCACTCTAGGCTCATTAGATTTATCATTTTGTACAAGGAATGTTTTGAGCTTGGCTCATAAATCAATAGCTCTCAGAATGTTAGAATTGAAATCTGTAAACATCTTCTCAGGAGTGTTTTGTCTGTAGAAGCTTTAACAGTTTATCTGCATAAAAATTATTTTCAATTTCAAATGTAAGTCTTGGCTTTTGTTATACACCGTGAGACTGGTAGGTATATTCGGATTACGCAACCTGCGCTTACTTATGAATAGTGGGACTTTTTTGATTGCTCTTATGTAGTCAGTTAAAGTTTTTGATTCTGTTGGTTTGATTTTGTTGGCAACTTTAAAATTAAACCGCAAGAAATTGTGTGCAGGGAAGTTTTTTCATACAGTTTTAGACTACTCAAGGTGTAGTCTCATAATAGGATCAGGTTATATTTTAATGGTTGTGCATAGTCTATAGATACAACAAATTCTCCAAAAAATTCAACCGTTTCTTTTTATTAGGTTGTTGACCTTTCAGATTTGGTAGAATTTATCTTTCATCTATGCTCGATATTTTTTTATTTCAATCCAGATGCTTTTTAAGCAGCATGCCTAGACCTTTCCGGTTAAGCTTAGTGGTACAAGCTGCATGTGAGCACTTCTTTTTGCTTTTTGCTGTTTTCTGAGGATCTATTAAATCGTTAAGAAACAAACTTGAACTCTATAGTGTCCATAGTTTTGTAACGTTCGAGCCGTTGAACCAAATTTCCTTAATAACTAAAACCTGTAAAATACTGATTTTTTTAACAAAAATTTTGATGTTTGTTTGCTTCCTTTTTATATTTCAACTCTTTAGATGACAGAATTTAAGGTTATCTCAGTAGTTTTTTTGTATGTTTTTTTCAAAATTGATCAAGTGACCAGGGTTTAGATTTTAGGATTTAGATGTCCTTTGCACCCTTTAATTTCATTTCAAAATTACAAAAGTAGTCATTAAAGTCAGGTTAATGATTAAAACAAGAATGATATTAATTGAAAATGAGAAAACTGCTGCGCTTGAGCGCCACCGATCTTGTTCTTAAAGTGCACAAGAGTGGCACTGCGTAAAACTTTATGGTAAAACTGCTACAGCCCATGTAAAAAAAGTTTTGTTCATTTAAACAGCCGTAAATGAAAACTTGATCAAAATCACTCAATGCAAATGAGAAAGTGCTGGTGAGGATACGGAGCAGAAGCCTTATATTCAAAGAAAAAGACACAGGACTTTTTGAAGAAATTTTTCTGATTCAGTATCGATACAAAAGAGTTCAAAAGTTAAAAGTTCTGCGTTGTGTTGATTGGTAGTCGATGATGCTGATTATAGCCCCAAAACTATTAAAATTGATATACAGCTGTTGGGTTGCCTGTAGGGGATCGATTCGCGAGTGGAAATAGGAGTTAGATGAAGCATAAGTAGTGTAATCAGGGGTTGGTTTAACCATTACACCATCATTTGAATTTCGACAAAATACAGCGGGGTTATTATTGCAAATAAACGGCACACCGTGCTGTGCTCCTCATTGAAATGAAAGTTCTCCCAGTATTAAAAGTTATACCGTCTTCCATCATCGAATTAACTTTCAGCAGCCAAAAAAATTCTCTCAAAATTTTTCTAAGATGAGATATGAATGATACTTGATCTCTGGTAGTATTCATAGAATTGCGAACAGTAGGAGATCATCTGGTCGAATCTCGAACAGTAGGATATCATCTGTATCGGTTGTGGAGTCCTTTTTACCCATGTTTGAATTTTCTGAGCATTGCTTTTTTGTGAATTCTTATGCTTTTTTGTGGTTTAAGATTTTTCAAAAACGTTTTTTTTTAGTATGAATGAAGATTGATTGGTCTTTTATGTCTATCTTTTACACATTTTTTTTATTTGAAGTGCTGTCGTCAAATCTTATACACAATTTTTTTATTTGAAGTCCTGTAATTACTAAATACTATAATCCTTCTTTTAGTATGAAACTGTGTTAAATTAAATTCACTGGAGATCAATGTGTAGTCCAAAAGTTGATGCATTGGAGGGAATATATTTCAATATTTAAATTTCATTTCAAATTTACTAGTTCTAATTTATTTCTATCCTGGTTCTAATTTATTATTTATTTCTAATTTTTTTAATAATAATTTAATTGTAGTTATTTGTAATTTATCTCTGTTCTAATTTATTTGTAATTTATTTCAAACAATAGGGAGGCGGTATGTCAAGTGAATTGTGTCCGAAGAGTCGTCTGACACTATTTAGTTGATTGAGTTTGGTTATTTAGAGGTTCCAAGAAACTTTGGTTCTTAGTTATTCCTGGATCTATTCAGTAGGTTGAAGTGAGAATTGACACCAAATGGTAGTTATACAGGTTTTAAGGTATGATGTCGAAATTATTTATGGGCAAAAATAATAAATTCACTGTTTCTGTGGCTGAGTATGTGTAAAGGTTGATGGATCTATTATGTCTATGTTCTTTTTCTAAATCTTTTGAATTTGTTTTTGAATGTGATCGCCTTTTAATTCATAGTATTCTGCTTCGTCGGATCCTATACATGATGTATTCACTTGAAGAGGTGTTACTATTAAAAATTATTGTTCTTCTTTTAGTCCCTTAGCCAAAAACGATTTTTTTTTTCAAAATCTTTTCAAGTCATGTAAACTACAACTACAGATTAAAATTTTATGATTATAATTGAAACTAATAATTAGAACCCAGTCACAACAATGTCGAAAACTTATCGTCCATAATTACGCAGTTTTTCGAACTTCTTCGATATTTGCAGCTATAAAACACGTCTAATTGAATTGAGCACCGAATCGTCTAATGCATGAAGAAACTTCTGAAGTTGAAAACTTTAAGGCTCGCAGATTGATTTGCTTCGTTTGTTCGGCATGAAGAATGGAGTCTTGCAGCAAACTTCGTCCACTTGAGGCAACTTTTTGGGCTTCTGTGACTCGACAATGTTTGTTTCTTTGTTCTTCGGTCGAATTTGTATCGAATAGTGCGATATTGCTTTATTTTTCAGCATATCGAGTATTTCGCTGGAATTCATTGAGCTAGTTTCCCTTCCATTTATGGAAACTATTTCATCATCCAGTGAAAGTTTCGGATTTTTGTCGGCCGGGGATTGGGGCAGAACATTCCGAATCAGTGTGCTTGTTTCGTTTAGTTTCGAAGTGTAAATCGCGACTCCCAGACCTAAACCTAATTTTGAGCTTCTCTTCAAACCAACTGTCACTAAATTTTCACCGTTAGGATCCGGTTGAAGCACCTCTAGCTTGACAACTTTTCCTGAGTTTTTGAGAAGTTTTCCCACCTCGTCTGTGGACAAACCATGCGTGAATACTCCACTGATCTTCACAATTTGGTCTCCTTTCTTCAATCTTCCGTCTTTGAAGGCGACGCCTCCAGTGTTGATACCTTTACAATTATTTACAAACTTTATTCAAATTATTGCAATTGATAAGGTCAAGAAGGTATATTAATTTTCCACGAGAGGTTTTAAATTGACTTTGAGCGTCCCTAAAAATTTCAAAAAACTATTCTATGAGAAGTTTTAAACTTGCGCCCCTCATTAACTGCCGCGATTCATTTGAATCTAAAATGAGAAACCAATTCCAAAACTTTTCTAAATTAAACTATCTAGATGTTTCAAATTACGTTCAAAAGAGTTTTATGCCAAGGCTTATGGATTAAATTCAAAGTTAACTTTTGACCTCTTTCGGAGGAAAGAGATTCGGATACAGTTGAGTGCTGTTCTCATGACAGAAGAATTTATTGCGCGAAAGTTTTCAATCAATACTAACCCCCCCCCCCCCCCCCTTCGTTAAAGTTTCTGAAGCTGCCTGATTTTTACGCTCATTTATTTCGAACTTTTGAAGAGTGCAGAACTTTGATTGGCAGCTTTTTTTTTTTCAGGCATTCGGCCATTCACTTAGACGTCACATAAATCAAAATCAGTAACGCGTCATAGTTCCTATTTTTTCGGTTACTATTAAAAGTTACTATTTTGATACTTTTTAGGAAAACTGGATAAAATTTGAGTTAATTGCCTTTGATGACTAATTTGTTCTCGTTGTTCTTGCCGATGCTCAGTCCCAGTCCACTGTAGCTGTTATTCTGGCTGCTCTGCTGTCTCAACTCAACTGTCAACCTCCTGCAGGGCATCTTGTGGTAACTGTCCACACATTTGGCCACTATCATGTGCACGGAGAGACTGGAATTAAGAAATATATACAAACAAAAAAATATTACAAAAACTGATTCAATTAAATGAAACATTTCAGCAATTTTTTGCTACCTATTGCAAAAAAGAGTAGCTTCAATAGCCCTAAAAATTAGTTAAATGGAAAAAAAGAGAACGAGTTTTGAAAAAACCTGTAGTTCAGTAGCGGATTAAGGAGGGGGGAGCGGATGCTCTATTCCCCTCAAGGATTCGACCCTCTGCCGACCCAAAAGGTCTCTCTCAGTACTAATTTTAGACATCCTTTTTTGGCTGGCTGACCCTAATTTCTTTCTAGAGGCGCCTTGGGCACCAATATTTACTACTTTTTCGGGGGTACCGCGCGCCGAAAAAACGCGATTTCTTTGACAATTTTTTCCAAAAAGTGCCCATAACGCCTTCGTTGGCCTGTTTTTTTTAGCAATGTGCCTGTAGCTGTTAACATATGAACAATCCGCTCGATCAAATTTTTCAGTTTATTTTTCTGAGCAATTTTTAGATGCTATGGAGTAAAATTGTCTTCACTTATCATTTCGACTTTTTGTTACTTGTTGAAACTATGACGGTTTAAAGAAAAAAAAATTGAGAATTTTTGCAAAAAAAAAGAATTTCTGTCGCTTTCTTTAGGTCGAAGCTCCCCAAAACACTGCAAAATTTTTTCGGCTGTCGGGTAGACAAAAAATTAAATCTTGTGTGGCTATCAAAAATCTGTCGACTTTGTCTTCCACAATTTTAGTTCAATGAATGTTCCGTATAATTTTGTATCGCAGTGCTTTCATTAAAGGTTCCCACCATTGACAATAGGTAGAAACTCTGTATTCGTGTGTGTTGATTTTTTTCACATTTGTCTTCTTCGCAAAATCAGACACCACAAAAAGTACTGGACTGGGTTGAGTGATATATCATATTAAAGCCATGAAAAGGTTTTCAAAGGTTTTCTCAAGGTTGAGAAAAATTATTTTGAAATTTTGTCTAATTTCTAGCGAGAAACGTGATCGAGTATGGATCGCTATACAAAAATTTACTTTAGTTTAGACTTTTAGGCTTAAAAAAACAGAAATTTACTTAAAAACAACTAATTTCAAATATAAAATTTTGTGCTTCATTGGTCTCGAAAAAAAATGTATGCAAAAAAAATGAGAAATTAAAAAAAGTCTATAAAAACGTATTAACTTCTAGAAGACAAATGTCAATTATGTCTTATTCACTAAGTTTATAAATGTTTGTATATTACTCAAATCGTCGCCCGCGCCGAAGACAACAAAGAATAGAATTTTGTTTTAAAGTTTTTTTATATGGTCAGGACATTCTGTGTTACTTGCGCAGCAAGCTGTCCTTGTTTTTTTTTAGTTTTGCAAGTGGTTTAAAACTTGTTTTGATATCTGTGTTTTTACTTTTAAATTTGCTTTTCCCATCGATTGTCAGTAGAAGCTTCAACCTCGTATGTATTTTTTTTTTCAATTAAGTCTAGGCGCCACAAATAAATTTTAAATTAGTTCCAGTGTTATATTACATGAAAGTTACAAAAATATGATAAAAAGTTTAGCTTTTTCGCCTTTTGTTCTAAACATTTCTTCTAGAACCGAAATGAAATTCACAAATATTTAATAATTGCAACTAAAAAAATAAAAGTGAATGGGTTTACTTTGAGTCTAAACAGATTTAACTCTGACTTCAGAAAACGGGTTTCTGAAGCCTAAGTAGAGCAGCCAACCTAGCAGAGCCACCAGTTATTATACTTGTTGCTCAGACCAGACTGGGTATTCAGTTTGGCTTTTTCAAGCAATGTTAGGCGCCAGAAACAGGAAACAATTGTTAAGCACTTAAGTTCGAACCTGTTTCTGATGAGCTTTATGGCCTGCTGGAAGTCCATATCGCACTCTCTGTCGCCCACAGTCTTGCTGTTCAGAGCCAGTATCTGGTCTCCTTTCGCCAGTCCCTCCACGAATGCATTCGACCCACTCTCCACTCTGCGGATGAGCAGTTTGTGACCCAGAGAGGTGTCCAGTTCAAGTCCGAAGTCCTCAATGGGACGCCGGAACAGATTCGCGTGGTGGATCGGAGCGTCTGAAACGGCGACGCTTCATATACAATTGGCTCAAGAGCCAGAAAACTAATCAAATGTAATCAACTTAATCTAGCTTAATTCAACTTAATTACATCTACTCTGATTATTTTGAAGAAGAAAAGAATCTATGGCAGGACTAGAACCTTAATCTTTAGTTATCCTCTTTTTTTGATGATCAGTTTTTTTAAATAGGATTTGTGTCGAGCTTTATTTTGTATACCAATGATGATCGATGACAGACCTCGATTATCAAGGTAGTAAATATTGAACTAGCCTTCAGCCAATCCAGATATCTTCCGGAGGAATTCGTCACTCTCCGAGTTAGAGGTCTTCCCGGAGGATGCCTCGTCATCTGCATCTCGTGACTCATCGAACGTGGGTCCATTTGTAGCTCCCGCTGATCTTGTAGTTTCTGCAGTAGAGGCGTGAGATGTGGGATCATTGATGCCATGGTCGCACTCAAATGAAGCTTAGAAAAAAAGTTTTTATAACACTAAAACACAATTAGTTAGTCCATCAAGTTTCCTGTGGGCAGTGTCTTGTACGCAAAAAAAATGGTGTAGATATATCTTCAAAAAGGGCTCAGTGAATGATAATTTCTGGTGGTTTTGTTGCTGACTTGTACTGCACTAGTCAAATTTAGGTCAATTTTAAAAATCTTCGAATTATTTTTTTTGCAAATTGTGCAGCAATAGACTTCTTTCAGTTTTATTTTATTTTACGAATTATGGAGAATTTCAAAAAAATGAATTTACGCCGAGTTTGCTGATTGACACCTGTTCCTTTTGAATCATCTGTTTTATCTTCACCCTCAAATTTCAAAGAACCCAGATGAACTTTGGGAAAAGAAACTGCCCCACTTTGATCCACCAAAACCAAGCCTTCTGCCCTAGGTTCGGACTCCTGTTGATTCATTCCAATAAACGTAACGCCTTCATTTACTGTTGAACCTGCAGTTTGACCTTGATGTAATTCCGAGGTCATTATCATGCTCACACTTCTGAGTCCACGACTATTTCGAGGCAACGACCTCGTCTCGTGAGTCGGACTCCGATTCGGATCTCGGTTTTTGTGTTTGCCACCCGAACGGCCTAACGTAAAACTATTCAACTGTTTAGTATTCGACTGTTCTACTGTTTGAAATGGTTGTAATGGCTGCGAGTTGTTAGCGACCAAGAATATTGGATCTCCTTGGAAACTTTTCACTGTCCGGGAATTCTGCTGGTTGGGTTTCTGGGAGGAGTTTTGTTTGGATAAAAGTGAACAAATAATGTCACTTGGGATGATTTGAGGAGTTATTCTGACATCAGAGTTTTCGAAGATATTTCTCCTGTGGAACAGAGGAGTTGCAATTAGGTTAATTAACTTAAAAACTTCTTTTCAAAATGTAAAAAACATCCGTTTTGCTTATCAAACAAGTTAACGAGAGCCCTGTCAACTAACAAATTTGTAAAATGTTCTTTTTGGAGGATTTACGGGGGTTTCCAGAAGAATAAATTTTGATTCAGAAATGGAAAAATTTCATATTTTTCAAACACAACTGCTGGCTCAAAAGGATCGATTCAATTTGCAAACGCGTGCACTGGCTTTTCGGCTCTCTCTTTTAAATAGCCCCTGGGTCTATTTGATATTTGGCACCTGTCTTCTCAAAGTCTGGTCGTAAGAGTATGTGACACCAATAAATCTGCGTCTATCAAATCGAAGATTATTGAGTTGTTCTGAAAATTCCTTGAATTACAAAATGCCAAAAACAAAAGAAATTCATCACAAATGATGCACTAACCCCGACCGATATAATTTGACCCTGCAGATTGGTTCTAAATAAAGCAGAACGATCCTCATAATTGTCTTACGCTGATGACGAAAAAGAGGTCAAAATTGCAGACACTGCTAATTCAAATCATCTTTAATTTAGTCATAGCGCTCGCTTAACCTCTGAACCTTGATCAATATGCCAGTTTTGAGACCTTGAGACATACTTTTTGTCTGAAAAATAGCAATTGCATGCAAAATTTGTCTGAAATATAATTATAATTAGTAGCAAAAAGTTCGGACAGACAAAATTAATTAAAAAGAGCAATTGACCTATTTTGGAAATTTTTGCATGCAAAATCTAATTTTTCAGTCCGATTTTGTGTCTCAAGGTTGTATGAAAAAAGAAATTGCATGCAAAAATCTGTCAAAATGGTACGATTGCTCTTTTTAATTAATTCTGTCTGTCCGAACTTTTTGCAACTCTCTATAGTAGCAAAAAGTTCGGACAGACGGAATTAATTAAAATGAACAATCAGTGCTTTTTGAGGGTCTTTTGCTTGCAAAATCTGAAGCCGAACAACCTTGAATTTTTTGTCAGACCAAATTCAAAATGCGAGATCGTCGATTATCCGATGATCATGCTAGCCTAATTTTTAAAGACTGCGATGAATATCCAGATTTTACAATAAATATTTCGACGCTTCAGATGCAATTGAACGCCGTGGTTATAGGTTTTGAGCGAACCTCGGATCTACTTAACAATCTCTCCCCCCCCCTTGTTGTATTTACTAAAGAATCTCTACCCCTGTAAATGAAAACAGTAAATTCGCACTAGAGGATTGTATATAAGCTCGAATTTTGCTGCATTCTGATTGGTCGAAATTTCGCTGCAAGTAATCTTATTAACGATCTCCTCCCCTTTGAAGGGGGATTGTTAAGTAGATCCCGTAACTCTGCTTTATGAACTTCCGAAGTTATGTTTATTTCAGTTTTAATTTCTGTTGATGTCTTGACAGTTGCTCTTTTTAATTAATTCTGTCTGTCCGAACTTTTTGCAACTCTCTATATAGAGAGTTACAAAAAATGGAACAGACAAAATTAATTTAAAAGAGCAAATGATCAATTCGAGACAACTTTTGTATGCAAAAGCTAACTTTTCCGACAGAAAAGATATCTCAAGGTCACTTATAAATTTAAATTTGCATGCAACATTTGCTCAGACTTGGCTGATTGCTCTTTTTAACTAATTCTGTCTGTTCCAATTTTTTGCAACCTATTATAGATCGCTTGCGCTTTTTAACTGGTTTTGTCAGTTCCATTTCGTTGTTTTTCTATATTTTTTGAACAATTTTGAATCCAAAAGCGACACGCATTAAACTACAAGTTTAAAACGCGTTTTTATAAATTTGAGCTGAATTTAGCTGAAAATTGATGAAGACAATTTTGGAGTTTTATTGCAGCAAATTTATTGTTCCAACTTTCGTAATGAGTTATTTGTGCTCGGAGTGGTTTTTTTTTAGATAAATTTCGACTTTTAAACTAGCCAACTTTGACGGAAATTTTAAACATCATTCGAAATGTATTAATGTCTTGAGCTTAACTTTGAAAAGATATGTCACCTGTGAGCGTTTTTCGTAAAGTTATGGGGGTTAAAAGAAGCTTATTTGCCATAATTGTTTGTTACAAGGAGCGAAATCTATCCTTTTTTAATTTTTATGGCGTGTGGGGGATATTTTTCACAAGAAATTTTAGAAGAAAAAAAATTCCCATTTCACTTAATTACATTTAAATTGTTTATGTTATTACAGCTCTATAAACCTTAATGCAGTCGAAAATTAAGGGCTTTGCCCTGATACGACTAGTTTTGTTGATTTTTATTCCAAAATTGGATCATTTTTGGTTCTCTTAGTGTATCAGAAAATACGCCAAAACTAACGAGTTGATTATTAACATAATAAAAACACAGTCAGCATCTAACATAGCCACACAAAGCTTATAAGAAATTAAATCGCAAACATTGCATAAACTAATTTGTTTTCGAATTTTTTTTCTTAAGATTTATTGGACTACGCTAGAGCGTCACAATGATTAAATTTTGTTAGTGATCAAATGGTTAATTTTGGCGTATTTACTGATTGACGTAGAAAACTCGAAGTTATCCAATTTTGGGTAACACTTTGGGCCTGACATTTGCAAAACAAGTTGCTTCATTAAAATTCTTAAAAAATCTACGCAAGTTTTGTCTTCTTTTTTGATCTAAAGTCAACCCAACTTAAGGAAACTGCGTTTTTTTATTTCAACTTAAATGCCTTTTAGCCGGATAATTTAAATCAGCGCTGTATGTCTCAAGGTCACCTGGAAACTCACTTTTATGCAATAGCAATAGCTTTTATGCTCGAGTGCTCGTATCAGGGTGAAGCCCTGTTTGTTCCGACTGCTTTTTAAGGCTACTGGAGCCTCAATAATCTAAAAAAAATGAATTAAAAAGATGATTCTGTAAGATTTTTTGTGAAAATCATACCCAAAATCATCCCCGCGTTTGAAATTTCAAGTTTAATGCCTTTTAACTGGATAATTCAAATCAGCACTATATGTCTCAGGGTCACCTGAAAACTTAGAATTTTGTGAAATAGCTGCTTCAATTGGGCAGATTGTTCTCACAAATCAATTATGTCTGTTATCATTTTTTGCATAATATGTCCTCTTTGTTTTGTGAACATTTTGAAATATAGTTTGAGAATGTATTTATGTAATTTAGAGCCTAATTATCATAAATTTGACAAAAATCAGATATTTTAAAACAAAAAAAAACTTTTACAAAATTAGGATGCTTATTGATGGTTAAAAACAAGATACAAATGTATATCTTACACTATCGATGGACAGCTTAAATGCGCCAAGAAGTAAAAGTTCGATAGTAAGAAGAAAATATTAGTAAAAGGCTCTTCAACTTGTATAGATAGCATCAAAATTGATTCATTTCAGGCCAAGCGAGACAAAAAAAACTTTTACTTGGTAAAGAGACAATTGGTAGTTTTTTCTAGGCTCGTTTTTAGTCCTTCATTCCACGGGCATAGAAAAATAGAAAAGGAAAAGGAAATAAAATCAAATTTTTTAGTTAGCTGTAGTCGGAATCTTCTGTTTTCTTTGTTTTTACTGCTTGGTAAAGCTACTCGTGATTTTATTGATTGAAAAAAATAAGCTACCCTGAATCTAAATTTTCATTTTAGGGGAAAATGTTCGAAATTGAGCATCTTCTATAAGAGAAAAAATATCTCATTCGAAATACGAAAACTATTGAAAACCAAACAAAGAGTAAAACAGTCATATTCTTTGCGCTAAGTTTATTGTTCAATAATCAGTTGCTCAAGGTTATGTTTTCAAAAACCGTGCAAAAAAAATCAGAATTAAGAAAAAACGATGAGCACCAAATTAGCTCTAGCTGATATCGTTCCTCGTGGCTCACTTAGGTTCTCTTTCACATTATACCGTTTACCTTTGGGATTATGAAACTATATAGAAAACAGATTACGTATCAAAAAGTTGACAAGCCGAAAGTAGACACGCCATTTTCAGCAAATTGCTTAACCAGCAGACCAAAAAAGCTGTTTTTGGACACTTTTTTAAAAGCTTCGATCAAAAATTGCAGTTTTTCGACGTGGGTGACCTCAAAATTAGAGTTTATTATGGGGCTTAGAAATTTGTTAGAACTAATGGACCAAAAGTGACTGTCGTAAGTTAGAACCAAAGGGCGATACTTGGGACAATTTTGGCAACCCAAGTTTCGAGTTTAGGGGAGGGGCGATCGCCCCCATTCTCTTCACCCTATAGGTTAATTAGCTAATTATTGTAATAGCAAAGCAGTGCATCTTCTTTTCTAAGTATTGTGTGTTCTCACTTTCTGATAGGCTGTTCGTCCACTAGTCTGTCGAAGTAGGCGGGTGAGCAGAGGAGTCCGTCTTGGGAGAGGGGCACGTAGTGGTGGTCGTAGCGGGCTATGTTCCTCACCGAAGAGCTCTCCAGGGGCGACACGTACCACCACGACATAAAGTATTGGGAGAAAAGAAAAGCAGAACCTCCCAAAAGATTTAATAACAAAATTAACACGATTTAAGATGGGACATTTTTCTATGTTAACTCAAATCCAAAGAAAAGCAGACGAAGCACAAATTAAAACACTGTAAAGGAAAAAAGTTTGGATTTGAATTCCTCGACAAAAAAAACTTTTCAGAGATTGACAGCACTGACACAAACGTAACCCGAGCAACTAAAGGGAAAATATAGAAAAAGCTTGTTCGTCAGAACTGTATTCAGTTTAGTTTTCCAAATTCATTTCAGATATGTGCCGATGAACTGATTTTAAGAAGTAAGGAAAGCTTGCCTGAAGTATTGAATGTGTAATAACTGGGTCTAACAAAGTGCGTTAGAGGGTCAGACAATGATTTTTTGGATTTTAATGTGGAATTTAATGTAAAATTGTCTATTTCAAAAACCTTGTATCGCTTTTTTTTGAATAACGGCAATAAAAATAGGCGGTTTGTTTAACTGATAAAAATATATGCAGCTAAATAAATTTTAGTCCAAAAGTCAAATGATTGAGGTCAATACCTGCGATGCAGAAAATCGACATCTGCTTTCAATTTAATTCTGTTTATATTGCTGCGCAAGAAGCCTTAACCTCAAAACACCAAAGGCAACTTGAGCATCAAACAGAAAATGACCTGACGGCATTTAGTTAAGTTAAAGATCCGAGGCAGTAAAAATAGGCAAAGTAAAGTTAGTAAGTTAGTACAAACGAAAAGTGAGGTGTATTTATTACCATGTAATAACCGACTTGATATAGCCTAACGCTTGTGGCTACAACATTATGCACGTAATTGGAACAAACAGCAATTGGCAATAATGGTTCTTTTGGTCAAGCGCACTTGAAAAAAAAAAGAAGAAAAAACTGAAAAAAGGAATAAGACAAAAGGGAGAATTGAGACATCTAATCTAGTTGTATTTATACCAACTGTGAATGCAAAATGCCTCTAAGACAAAAGGATTCCACATACTAAATAGATTTAATGGTACACGTGCAGCTAAGCGATTCAGTGATGAGCCGAAAACAAAATTTAAAAAAAAAGGACAAAAAACTCTCATTGACGATAATTATTGAATTTTTATCCAAGACTCCGCGCTTATTCTTCACAATTGTTTTCCTAAAAATCTACTAACCTCATATATTATATCTGATTCATTTACGCTGAATCTTCTAACTGCTTATTCTGCTTGTTAGAAATAAATGTGAGCAAAAAAAAGTATTTGCTACCACAGATTTTGCTATCGCAGAAATTTTTAGCTGCGATGGCGTCACAGTTTCAAACTTGCATATCCAACCAAAAGAAGATTTGCTGTTCTTCCAAAAGACATTTGTAATCCTGTCAAACTATTTCAAATATTCAAAGGGCAACATTTATTTATTAAAAAGATTTCAAGAAAACTCAGTTGACTTTTCATGAAGACAAAATCAATTAGTTTTATATGCTTCCTATAACTTAAATTTCAATTTTACCGTTAGAATTTTTTGAATTATTCGTTTGAAGTTTAATTCTTTAGTAAATAAATACAAATTTTTATTTTTCTTCAAAAGTGATATTAATTTGAAAATTGAGATATGTTAGTGAGCAAACAGCAAACTTGTTGATGTCAATCGATGTTTGAAACAATTCCGTTCAAACCAAAGTATCATCAATTAATATTAACTGATGTTCTAAAGCCAAATTGAGTGTTGCCTAAAAAATTTAGGGATGAAAGATTTTCATTAGGTTGTTTATATAACAAATTCTCGGTGTCTAATTCCAGTAATTAAGATGCGCCTGTAGTTTTCAAGTACTTGAGGATCATTTTTTTTGTATTTTGACGTGACAATTGCTTTTTTGAGCTTCTGTGGAAAAAATTTTTCTATCAAGTAATCCATAAAATGAGAAGTAAGATGCGTGTAAATTTCCTTGAACCATCTTTAACTGAAATTGTAACCTAAGGGCACCGTTTTGACTAAAATTGTTGAACGTTGCACTTGGATTACTTGCTGATAGAAGAGTTCCAGTTAGTTTTTGGGCAGATTCGAATTGAATAACTCGTCTGAATAGTTTCTTATCAAAAACATTGCACTTGAAGAGAGTGTTGTTTCCATTTATTTTATTTTCAGTAAAGAATATATCTGCCAAATGATCTGTTTTTTTTTAGGAGGTGTAAGTAAGTTTGCTTTGTTTGTTTGGTCTGTTAAACTGAGAACTTGTCTTTTGAAGGAACAAAGATTTGACTCTTTGGACTCACTCGGTTTTATCATATTTTTACAAACGATTTTTATTTTTTCTTCAAAGACTCCAATTGCGAAAATTTAATCATTTATTTGAACCTGAATTTTTTTAGGAAGATACGATCTCGATAAAAAAATCGTAATGATCTCAAGGAAAACCATTTTTGTTGCACAACAGCTTCTTGAGTACTCAATCCAAAAACCACCATGTACATTTGTTATTAGTCTACAATATATGACCAAATCTGCTACAATCAAATCAAGTCTGCAATTTGTCACATGAAGAAGCGTAAAAGCGTCACAAAAATAACAATTACCTCCTTTTTCAATAAGCGTTTCTCGATAAAGAGGTTTACTGAGACAATTCAGACGCTGGTAAAATGCTTGAAAACAACCCTAAACACAGAAAAAATTGAGCATTGTTCTCCAGGACCGACCACGACTACAAAGTACATTACAATTATAGGTCAATTTCAAAAATTGTGTCAAAAACTACAAATTAAATCCAGGGATGAATTTTTATTTTTGGGCTCGACTATAGGCAAATTTTGTCGCAAAGAATTGCAAATTAAAAACATAGTTAAGCTGGAAAACAAGTCGGAGGTTTTTGATAAGCTGGATACAATTTATAGTTTCTATCTGGCAAAAACTGCTTTAGCATGCAGAAACACCTATATTTTTTGCGTTAAAAACCTTGTAATAATTTTTTCTGATAAGTACTATTAAATTTGAAAATTTTATTTGTGCTAAAAAAGAAATGGGAAAATGAATGATAGCCACTTTTTGCATACAGCTCCTCCAATAGTCGAAAATGGCTTAGGTGTTTCTTTCGCTTGCCTACTAGCTTTACCCGCGTTTTTAGCCTCAGCAATAGGAACGTAGTTTACCTTTTTTACAATGAAAATTCTGAAACTATTTTAAAACTAGATTCGACTGATAAAAAAAGATTCAATGCTTATCAGGATAAGTTCGGATTGCGATGGTTGCATGTCATACTGTGTAAAATTCTAAACTTAAGACTGTCGAAACAGCAGGTTAGAAACGCAGTCGGACTCTGCATAAATTTAGTACTAGAATGTTGTTAGCATTAAGTGGAGTAAGTGTCTCCGAAAGTATTTGATAAAATACTGCATTTTTCAAGCTCTCCTGGTACATTTTCAATGTTTTCATTGTCACAGAAAAGTTGTATTGTCTGCATTTTGAGTTATTTTGCATAAGTTAATCAGTTGCTGGAATGAATTATTGATGTATAGGTTGAAAATGAGACGTCCTAATACAGTGCGTTGTGGCAAACGTTGATAACCTGAGATCCAGTCCGATTCAGTTTTGCTTAATTTTGTTTTCTGACTTCAGTCGCTTGTCAAAAAGTTTATCAAGCATAGCAGTTTCAAAAAATATAAATTTTTCGAGATTTTGTTTAAAATGGTTACGGTCAATAGAATCAAGTGCCTCCGAGAGATCGTTTGGTGAGCAAACAAAAAAATTTGTGATATCAATTGTTTTTTTTGTTAAATAATTCTGTGCAAAAAAACAGCATGAAAAAAAAATTGATGCTCTAAAGGCAAATTGGAAATGAGTGTTGCCTAAAACATTTTGAGAAAAAAAGATTTTTATGATTATAATTATACAATAACTTTTCAAACAATTTCATTAGTGCTCCAGTAATTGAGAGAGGCCTGTATTTTTGTATTTTGGGTGACAACTGCTTTTTTAGTCTTCTTCGGAAAAAATTATTTATTAGTTGTTCAATAAAAATAAGTAAAAGGCGTGTAGTTTTTCCTTGCACCCATAATACAGAGCACAAGAGGAATGTCAGATGGACCTTGCGGTTCTTTTTGCTTAAAATTTGAAATGTTCAATTTTACACTACTGTTGTTTTCTATTTCATTGAAAAAACCAGGTGTTGAAAATTTATAGTAAAGGATTTTTGCGATTTTTAAGCTAAATATTACGAGTTCTACAAGGAAATTTTTAGAGCAAAACGCTTATAGATTGTTATGTGGATATTCTGATTTAGTTTTTTTGTTTCATTTTCACATCGTTTTTTTACTGATAAATTTTAAAAAATATATCTGGTAAGCTTACTTTTTTTAATCGAAATAATTATTGTCAATGATAATGAAAATTTAGTCGACATTATAAAATAAGGCTTCGAGACCTCAAAATAATACCAACATCAGAAACAATTCATAACCTAAGCCCAAACATAGAAAAGTTTGGGCATTATTCTCTAGGACCGACCAAAAGTAAGAAGTCTTTGTTAAAAATCTTTATATAAGGTAACGAATGTTAAATTGAACGATAGCCAGTTTTCGCAATCAGTTCTCCCGTCTGCCAAAACAGCTCGAGTGATTTTCCGCTCGCCTACTAGTTCTACCCACTTTTTAGCCTCAGCATTAGGAACGAAAAGTACCATAAGTGAAGTTGTTTGTTTGTAGTACGATGATAGAATATATTAAAATGCAATAAAACATTGGTTTGATTCAGCAAAAATTGAAGTAATTCCCAAAAACGGATTGAAAATTATTGGATGGAGCTACTTTTGATAACAAAACTTCTCAAATGACTATGAAACTAGATTCCAATGATTTAAAAAAGTTCAAAGCTCGCCAAGATAAAATCGGTTTGCATTATTTGAATGATTTACCGTGTAAAACTCAAAACTGTCAAATCAGCGGTTCAAATCATTGCAAATGGACTCCGCCCAGTTTTAAAAAAATGAAAACAAACTACGTGTGTTTCCTGGAAGAAGTAACCATAGCTGGATGGTATGTTCTTTCTTGTCTGAAAATTGCAGATAGTTTCTTTTAGCCTTCAAGATTGACGGGCCTTATGAGCAAAATCTCGCCTCCACTCACATTCCTTCTGTTTGAGAGCCACGACTCTTAAAGAGGACAGATCAGAAGCGACTATATGGCTTGACATTCGATCCATTGGTTTTTGTTGGGCAGCTCCTGTGGGACTTAACGACAGTTAACTGCCTAATCCCTAATATAATAAGCACATGCTCGGTTTGTAACCCGGAACGGCTGCAGCCGAAGAAGAAAGCTAATCGGAAAAATGTAGAGATTTGATTATTGATGGATACAATTTTCAACTAACAGCTTTTGAGGTTTTGGGTGCCGCCGACCCTGGCACTTTTTTAAAAGCTCTGTAAGAATTTGAGCACGTATACTGGGGAACCGAGGGCAGGTAGTTTTTTTCAGCAGAGATGTAAAAGTAGCCTACTTAAGTCACATATGAGTCTATGAGAAATAGGGCCTTTAACCATTGGCTCAAGAGTCAGGGACACTATTTCTTGTGTTTTCTACCTCGGAGCCAGTTCGACTCACTTGCGACTTAAGACTACAACCCGCGCTACAGCTTAAAGGCAACTACCAAAATACCCCCACACTAGAGATAAGAACGCCCCCACGGTCAGGTCTCAAAATTTCTGAAACACGCGAACGCCATTAAAAAACAGCGTCGGAACCTTAAGTACACCTTTAGTTATTATTGGACAGTGGACCTTTGATCCATTTCAGATGAATCAATCTAAACACTCGCCCTAACTCAACATAATCACATAAAACACACTCAAGAAGTTTAACTTGGGTTTTCACATACAGACACGACATCTAGAATTGAATAACTAATGATGGTAAAGCAAATCTGGAGCTGATTTAAGGTAATTAAATTCAACTCAAGGACAATTTT